TCATGAGGCAAACAAAGATGTGGTTAAACTTTTTTTTCCAAAGTTTGTCCGGTGAATAAAAATACCACCATTCGATGCAGAATTAAATTCTGAATCGAATGGACTAGGTTTTATGAACCGGACAAACTCTGGAAAAAATTTTTTAGCTTACACACAGTTTCTTCGTGCTAGCTCCTTCGTGCTAGCTTCACACTGATGTTTATTTGAGAAAAAAAGAAACAAAAATAATGACACTGCCCTTTTTTTTTGAGTACAATTAATATTCTTTCATTTGATAAGACTTACTTGGAGACCTTGTCATTGTTGATAAATATATGATAACAACAATGTAGGGTTCTTTTTGTTCTCTTGAATTTATTAGAATAAAAGTATCAAGAATACAGAAAATATCAACATTGAAAAATGAAAGATGAAAGAAATAATTCGATATAAAGAAAAAAATTATTGTTCTCTATTAATTTCTTTCCTTTTTACCAAATATAACGTGCATTACATTTTTGAATCATTTGTTTAATATTTTGTGTTTCTAAAGCTTTATGTGTTAATTTGAAACTTGCATAAGCTTTGTTATCCTTTTGTATAAATAGAACTTCAGCTCCAATAATATCATAGTCTTCAATTATATCATCTAACTCTATCTTCCAACCACAATTTGGACAATATGGATATAATGACAAATAATCGTGCTTGCTACGAACCAATCTCCAGTACGTTCTACAACAACTTGGACAGGTGCAACTTGTAAATACAGTTGTTTGATATTCTTGTTCAAGAGATGCAGTTCCAGCAACTATATTCACAATAGCTTGTACATCACATATAATTTGGTCTTTACTTCCTGCCATTTCTAAAAAATAATGAACAAAAAACATTATGAAAATCGTATTTCATTTTCGATCTGTTATAGTAAAACTGAACAGTTTGTTTTCAGATCGAAATGTATTATATTGATCTTTAAAAAATGAAAAAAAGATAGACAACCTCCTAATCAAAAGAACAACATCTCTGATCTTTTATTATGAAATGAATATCTTGTTCGATACATAAACAGGATAAAAATAATTCTTAATCATTAAATTTATCTTTGATGTCTTTGCCAACAACAATAAATTTATTTAATTAAATGGACAATACTACCAATAGAACCGAACACAATATATATTTGTAATGAGATCTTTAACAACTTTCACGTATATATATGTATGCTTATCGAAGGTATCAAGTTGGTTTTTTCCAAGAAAGACTCACGTTGTTAATTCTAGAGTTATAAAACTGTTATTACTTTATTTTATCTATATAAATATTAGTAATTAAAAAGAACAAAAATATCTATGTTAGAATTTTTTAATTATCAACTTTATTTATCACTACGTACACAATAGGACATATCGTTTAGAACGACTGAAGATAAAAAAACAGAATTTCCATGTTTTAAACTTTTTGGAATAAAAGTAATTGTAGTAGCAGTAATAGATCGTCTGAAAGACGGAATAATTATCTCTGCAAATAAAGGCTGTCACAAACAAAAATTAATAACGGAAAAATATCACATAACTACAGGTATAATTAGATAACAAATTAAATTCTTTTAAATAATTATATTTATACATTTCATCCAGATATCTCTTATGTCACTAATGTAGATTCTCTTTTTTTTTTGCACCATCAGCAAAATATTGGAATGGAAAACACGTGGTGGAGAAAAAAAAAAGGAGCGAGTTTATGTTAATCAGCTTCCTTTCTCTATACTTTCGCCACGTCATCGTCGTGTCATGAAAGAGAAAGAAAAAAAGGAGACAAAATACGTTACGATTACAACTACACACTACTATTTCTATATTAAAAACGACGATTGCATCATAAAAGAAACATCTGGCATACATACGTATCGATGATTGCCGAATATATAGATTTATCAAAAATGATTTATTTAGATAATAATGCAACAACAAGAGAAGATAAATCCGTTATTGAATCAATGATAAATCATTTAACATGTTCAAATTTATTTGGAAATCCGAGTTCATCTCATTTAATTGGTATTGAAACAAAATATTTAATAAATGAATCGAGAGAACAAGTGAGAAAATCAATCAATGCATCAAATCTCAACGAAATTATTTTTACAAGTGGTGGAACTGAATCAAATAATTTAGCTCTTCATGGAATTCTCAAATTAAATCTCAAAATCAAACAACATATTATCACAAGTCCATTTGAACATCCATCTGTTCTTAATCTTCTCAAATCTTTACAAAATTCTTATGAAAATATTCAAATTTCATTTGTTAAAGTCAATTCCAATGGAATTATTGATCTCGAACATTTTCGTCAATTGATTCAACCACAAACAAAACTTGTTACAATAATGCACAGTAATAATGAAATTGGTTTGTTGAAATTCACATTTTCCAAAAGAATTCCGCGGACAAAAAATCTTTTCTTTTTTTAGGATCAATTCAACCAATTGAAGAAATTGTTCAAATTTGTCGTCAATTTGGTTCATCTGATCTTCGAATTCATACAGATGCATCACAATCTCTGGGAAAAGTTCCAATTGATGTAACACGTCTTGGTGTAGATTTATTAACGATCTGTTCACATAAATTTCATGGTCCAAAAGGTATTGGTGCTCTTTATATTCGAGAAGGAATTCAATTAGAACCAATTCTTTATGGTGCTCAACATGAACAAGGTCTTCGACCAGGTACTGAAAATGTTTTAGCAATTGTTGGTTTAGGAAAAGCGTGTCAACTAATATCAAATAAAACTTTATTAAATAAAAGAATTGAACAAATGAAGAGAACACGTGATCGACTTTATCAAGGATTAATTCAACAATTTAATGAAGATTTTATTCATCTAAATACACATGAAGTTTATTCTTTACCAAATACATTGAATTTATCTTTTCGTGGAATTAACGCCAAACAATTAGTTCAACAATTGAATAATCGATTAGCTTTTTCAACTGGTAGTGCTTGTCATGAAGATACAAAACATCAATCAATGTCAACAACACTTCAAGCGATTGGTACGATTTCTCTTCTATTCGTTATTATCTTTAATATGAATAATTCTCTTTTATTCAAAGGTTTATCATGGGAATTAGCACGTGGTACAATTCGATTGAGTACTTCTTATATGACGACTGATGTTGAAATAGATCAAGCGATTGCTCTTCTTACAAATGCAATCAAACAACAACTATCTTCTTTTACTAATGGAAATCATTAACTATTTTATTTTCATTGTTTTGTTCTGTTTTAATAAATCTCATGAAGTCAACGAGGATTATAACTCAAATCGAGAATACTCATTCTTAGACTAGACAAATGAAATATCAGTGAAAGTTTTCAATAAATCTATTGAAAGTAATAAACAAGAAGAAAATATTTCAGTCAAATTCGGATCATTCATCCCATCAGTACGTCTTTTCACTTACCGAGCGTTCTTAGTCATTCGACTAACTACGACCGAGTGATGAATATTGGAAATGGAAAGGTTTTTTGGTTCAATAATTTCCTAAGACTATACAGGCTGAATTAACAACGAGTAAAGAATCATCAGCTGGAGAAGTGACATTCATACGATCCACACCTTGAACAAATTGTTCTATTTATATCCAAAGCTTAGATTGTAAACTTTCAAGTTCAAATGAATTTGAGATCAATTTCTTAAATATTTGAAGTTAATTGATATCTCTCCAACAATTACTTTCATATTTGAGATAGATCAAATAAATGGATCGTTTTTGCTTTTTTTTTTTAAAGACACAGACATCAAAATCGTTGCACTAATAGATGTCCGAAGAAAATAACTATCAATCCTGTCCAAGCGTCAGAGATCGATGAGATAACATCTTTTCTGTACTGCGGTACTTGATTATTTCTTCGTTTCGTCAGTCTCTGCAATAAACGGAATAAAGAAATCGAATTGTATATCGATTTGATGATCTATCAAATATACAAATTCATCCTTTTGGACGAAAATCAACTTCATCAAAGCCACCTTAGATAGGTGAATATAACAAAAACATGTCTCTTTATTCGTAAGAGCCATCGAAAACAATGTCAATTCACATGAAAATGATTTTCTTTCAGAAATAAAGACACAAAATACTTGTTCAACAACGTCTTTTTATGTTTGTTCTGGGTCAATAAGAATTCTCTTTTCCTAAAACTATGATTCATTTTGATTTTGTTCATAGTAACAACAATACCAATGTTGATCAATAGAACGGTTGACGATCTCTCCTAGCAGATTTTCCTTTTATCTTAATACTTGTCAATTATCGGAAACTTTTACTTTCTCCTCAGATCGAGAACAAAGTTCGAACCAAAAGAATTATGGAAATTAGAAGAGCAACAAGATATTCAAGCCAAATGTGGGCTGATCAATCATCTTGAGGACTTGCTGTACTTCGAGAGATATTCTGTAAATTGATTGTATAATCAAAATCAGTTTCTTCTCAAAGAAAGAGGCGTGACGACGAATAAGCCTAGTGTAGGTGGTGTGTTGGTGCTTCTGGTTTATAGAACATAGAAGTGCTATACAGCCGATGAAGTGTGTTGCCGTAAAGTAAAACGTGTAGCTTTGAAACTGTAACTGCTACGAAGGGTGTGTTCTAAACATACTTGAATAGTCGAACGGATAGTTTGAATACTTGAATTTTTTTTTGGAGTCATCGCTTTATTTGTTATTAAACAACCAGTTTTCACGAAAGGAAAGCAAACAGACAGAACGAAAGGAGAGAAAGAAAGAAGAAACAACGGACAGACTGGTTATAAAGCTGGCATGAGAGAGACGAGACGCATGACTGATGTCTTATGTCTCGTAGAGGAAAGAGAAAAAATTACAAATAAAAAAAAAAAAGAGACAGTTTGATAATTTGCGGTGTTGGTTGGGTTCGAACGCGAGGTGTTGGAGGGTAGTGTAGTGGTAGTTATCTTCGAAGGAACGTCGACGTATATGTGCAGGAACGAGTCGATGTATACGTCGATAATCGTTTTTTCTTCGTTCTCGATCAAACGTTTTGTACGTGATTCCGATATAACAATTTTCGCACAGATTCGGCCGACCTAAGAATGATCTATGTTCTCGACGCTGACGTTAATAGTGGAGAGTGTTGTTTCACGCTGCCGTTAACATAGCGTGTAGAACAGATGAAACCGAATATCGGAGATGTGTACGTCACGTATAGTTGTTAACTGTTTCCCCAAGGAGAGACAGAAAGATGGTCGGGTTGTCTTAGAGGTTGTCGTCATAGTCTGTGGATTTATGTGTTGTCGGAGAAGTAGTCAGTGTCAGTATTCATTTGTCTTAGATCTGCCGTCGTCATGTGAGACGACGCAGATTGTCCTATAGCATTGGAGCTGGTGTTTTGTCATAGTTGGTTTGCGATGTCTTGAAGGTGTTGGAGGAGTGTTTGATCTTTGTTTGATGAGGCTGTGTTAATGGACTTGTGGAGCAGTGATGTTGCATATTCTTTGATTTTCGGTATTTTGGATATCCGATGTATATATTCGACAGAAGTGTAGATCGGCAGGCCGAGAGTAGCGCGAAGCGCTTTGTTTTGGATGATTTGTAGCCGATCCCATATTTTGTCGTTTGCTGTTAGTAAAACTGGATATCCATATGTCATCACTGGTCTAACGATCGCTTTGAAGATGTTTATCATCGTCTTTTGGTTAGGTTCTTGCGCTGATTTGGCTAAGTATCGTAGAAGACTAATGCGTCCAGCCATTTTCGATTCGAGATGTTGAAGATGATTTCTCCACTTCAGTTGCTTGTCGATAATCACGCCCAAGTATCGGGTTGCATCCAGAGGTTTGATGGTAGTATTTTCGACTTTGGCTTCTACTGGATGCTTGTATTTCTTTCTTGGGTGAAGTCTAAAGTGGATCATCTCGGTCTTTGTTGGTTGTAGCTTCAGTTTCCATGATTTGCACCAACTTTCGAATGCATCTATGGATTGTTGTAGTCTTTGTGAAAGACTGGTCAGGGTGTTGGATGATGTCCATAGAGCAGTGTCGTCAGCGAAGAGACCATGTTCCGTGTGCGGTGGTATATCGTTCATCGAGTCGGCCGTGTAGATGATGTATAGGAGTGGAGATAACGGCGACCCTTGTGGTGTACCACTCTGCAGCTGGAACGGACGAGATATATCATTGTCGATTTCGATTGCAGCAGTCCTTTTGTGGAGGAAGGAGATCAGGTAGTTGGTAAGGTATTGCGGGAGACGAAGATCATGTAGCTTGTATATAAGGCCATCGTGCCAGACTGAATCAAATGCGGCTTTGATGTCGAAGAAAATGACAGCGGAGTGTTGTCTAATTCCGGGCCGATGGAGTTTACTTCTTGCGAAGCGTTCAAGTCGGACGATGTTGTATAATGTGCTCTTCTTCGCACGGAATCCTGCCTGATGTGCTGGCAGAATGTTTCGACGTTCGATTTCGAGCGTGAGCCTTTGCTTGATGATCTTCTCCAGCAATTTACCGAGACAGCTCAGGAGACTGATGGGACGATAACTGGATGGTAGACGCTTGTCCTTGTTTGGCTTCAACAGTAAGATAATATGTGCTTTCTTCCAGATGTCTGGTATGTATCCAACTTCCAGAATCGTATTGTACAACGCTGTAAGGTGTTGTACAAATAATTCGGTGTGGTTTTTCAGGCATCTGTTATGCACATTATCAGGGCCAGTGGCGCTGTTGCGTAATTGTTTGATATGCCACTTAACTTCTTTGGTTGAAACCTTTTTCCATTTGGTGGTGGTTGACGGATGTAGCACACCCTTCTTCACTTTTTTGGCTTGTCGTACAACTTGCTTGTGAAACGGGAGCGTGTCAGGCACTTTGAAGTAGACCTCTTTCTCGAAATAGTCCGCGAAGATATCTGCCTTCTCTTTGCCTGTCGCTGCTGTAGTGTTGTTGTACTGCATCGTGCTCGGGTATGTTTGCTTGATCCGTTTGTTGTGGAACTTTCGCACCGTGAGCCATACTTCATCCGAATACATCTTCTTTCGACAGAGGGATTCCATTAATTGCTTAAACTTGTGCCTTCTGTCGTTCCTAAGGGAGTTGGCTAGCAGGACTTTAGAGTTGTAGAATTGTTGTTTGTCTGCTGCTTCTCCAGTCTTTTTCCAACGTCGATATGCTTGATGTTTGTTCTTGATCAGACGTTGGGAAGCTTCACTTACTTTGAAGTTTGTATTCGGCATTGATGTTGTTGGGATGGCTACGTTGGAGGCAGTGGTGATGCAATTTGTGACGAACTCTGCATAGTCGTCTATGTCACCGGGTAAGGTTGGACCTGGCTTGTTCCATGTTTTCAGTTTTTCGTCCAGTGTGTTTCTGTATTTCCTCCAGTTGGCTCTCTTGAAGTTGAGCGATATTCGTGGTGATGCGGCGTTGACTTCAGTTCCGATCGAGATATCGAAGGTTAATGGCTTGTGTCCACTGAGAAGTCCTAATGTTGGATGTGTTTCGACATTTGATATGAATGAAAAGAGTGGTTGACTGGCTAAAATCCAGTCAATTTTTTCTTCGTACTCGTTCTTTTCAAATGTGGTAATAGCATCGTCGACACAGTTCAAAAGGCCTTCGTTGATCAGTTCTTGGAGCTGTTTGCCTTTTGCGTTCGTTCTTCTAGATCCCATCTGGAGGAGTGCTGCATTCAGATCTCCAACGATAATACAGTCGTTGTTGATTCCGTATAACTCGTGGAAAATGTCGATGTTTAGTCTTGCTCGAAGAGGGACATATATCGACGCTATCAGCATGGATTTGTATGTTTTTGTTTCGAGTTGGACTGCTATCAGTTCATTTTTCCTGATGACTTGAGTTTATCGCGTAAGAAGACGCTGTACGATAGGTTTTCTGCAGTTAATCTGGATCTTTCTTTGCGTGCAACATATGCAGATGAGCTAAAAGCAGATTCCGAAGGAACACTTGTACTACTTGTTGCTAGATAGCATTTCGCCATATTTTGGAACATAGGTAACTCTTGTCCATATTGTTTCCAAAACGTAATCGCATGCATACGTGGATGCTGCTTGCATAGTGAAGTATAATAGGCGATCTCTTCGGAAATTGTTTTATGTTTACGATTATCAGTTGGCAAACATTTGTTTATTGATTTCAAGAATTTTGTTAATTTATCTGGTTTTTCATTAGCTGTTTGCGAATTGATGTTCACGGTTTGAGTTGTACTGAATGATGATGACGATGAAGATGCTGTTGTTGTTGACAACGACGCGCGTGCAGGTGTACATGGAACTTGTTCTTTGCTTTTTTGTTTGAGTAGTCGCTCGATTTTACCTTTCTCTTGTGTTGTTAAGACGGAGAATCCAAATGGGTCAAAATATCCGTAGAACTAAACAAAGTGAAATACAAAGAGTAGTATTCCATGTCATGAAGCAGGTTCAATCGAAGAACACTAGCCGTATTCTCCACCTACAAAATTATATTTTCCAAAGAGGATGGACCTTCAAATAGAATCAGTTTAACACACTATTGATCAGTTTTCTCAATGAGACTTTTCCCTCAACAAAATTCGCTCTTTCAATAGTAGCAATCATTCTTCAACAATCTTTTGCGAGAGCTTACTATTTGTGAACCTTTCCAACACATTGATGCCGATCAAAAGAGTATCCAAAGGATAATGAAATACTTGAGATTGCACTCGGTGTAACCGAAGTGAAGAAATTTCCTACGTGATTGACTTTTCAATCTGAAAATGAATCACGAAGGAATATTAAGACACGAAAATATCCAATCTCAATCCTTTCAATACTAGTCACACTTCACAATGTGACCGAAACTGCACACGATTTGACGACTCAAAATCGGCGGCGTAATTGAATCTGTTCTAAGTAAGGGCCATGATTGCTTGTCTTAGTTATTTGCTATGTCATGTACTTTTATCTTTGAATCATCTTTGTCACACATGTATATTGAATAGGGTTTTCTATATGTTCTACTCATCTCTGGTTCAGAGTTTTGAATCTGTTCTTCTTATTTCTCGTTCTTGTATCATTATGAAGAGATATATTGATGTAGAAATAAATTCCAATGCATGAAGAGACTTGAGGTAACTTTTTATCAGTGTCACAATCATAGTCGTAACTCATTCGCTCCATATCTTGCGCTTCCTTCCATTCTCAGCTCAATTTTATATACTCACTTTTTCTTTGCCTCATATGACATGATATAGTTTACGCGTGGTGATATGCGCTGTTGTATCTGCAGCCATATAGTCAAACCGAAAAAGAAATATAGCGATATAAGGCTTTATCCTCCAGATTGCGATATCTGTAGTTGTGGAGGTAGTTCGGTCAGTTAAAATATGCTTCAAATCCTGAATAAGACACTGCCGGAAGGTGAGAACTGAGTGACGGAATAGTTGCACGCGCACTGCGACGAATTTCTCGAGTTTGAGCAACGAATTATTCACGAACTGAAGCATATGTACGTTCATGGTATAAAGCTCACATGGATTACTATTCCATTTCGTAATTTGAACTCTTGCACAGAATATCACGATGTAAAATATTTCCGACGTTTGCAATTTGATGAGTCTAGTGAAACAAATTGCTTCCGAAAAAGTAAAGAACTGGTAGTTTTTGTTCCAAATAAATAAGCCCTGAAAGACTTGTTGTCATTGATTCGGGAAGGCCACCTCAAATTCAATGAGTTTTCTAGTTATTTTAACACCAATTTCTTAACACTTTAAGATTGAGGGTAATTTTCATAAAAGCGATAGATCATTTTACTCATGACAATGTTTCTTTCAGATTCCGCACATCATCGAAATATCTGATCTAAAATCGCAGCTTGCTAGACTTAAGCAGTGCGAAAAACTGATATAATGGTTAATATATGTATTTTTTATTCGTGATTATGTTTTTCTCTTTCACTTGTCTACATGTTGGTTCTCCTTTCCTACTTGGCAGATATTGGGTGCAATGTATTTGAGTTTATGATCATGTAGCAAAAATGATACGCCTCTATATGAGTATCGAAATCTTCAATAAACTCTTATTTCGTTTTAGTTTCAACCTGGAATACGCACTGTTAAAAGATTGTACTGATCATCGTTTTCATTAAAGTAAACGTTGAATGCATCGAGAAAATAATTTTTCAAAATGATAAACACATCTGTTTTATCATCATAATCATCATCTTCTAAAAATTCTTTAATACCACGTAGAGTAAATAAAGTCAAGCCGATCGTTGGGTATTTCGAACCAGATAAGTACTCTGTAGCATTATAAATAGGTTCCAATAAATGGACTAATTCGTTGATAATTATCCAATCATTGCTCGTCAATTCAAGTAAGGATAATTTTTCTTTCTGTGCTGATGTTAATGGCAATTTGTTCCGATTTTCGATCAGGTTTATCAATACCTGTTTGTGCTGTACAATGGATAAAAGTGAAATATATGTTGAATTCCAACGAGTAATACAATCATTACTCAATCGACGTGACTTGATTCCTAATAATTCCCTTTGATAATTGACATATTTGGACAAATGTTGTGTACCACGTGTCATTTGGGTTAATGACCGGCATTTGTGTATAGTCATAGCCAAACTGTCTTTGGTAATATGAAACTTATTGTTATTATTATTGTTGTTATCGATATCATTCGAATCAGCAGTCATAACGTCATCTGACCAACCATCAGTTATTAAATCGTTATTGGCTCCATCTTCATCGTCGACTTAGTCATTTTCGTCTATAAGATAAGAAAAATTCAAGATATCACATTTACATGCCGAGTAAGCAAAGATTATCAGATTGATGAGAGTAGCTTCGATTATCTGATAATCAAACTAATCGTTTTAGTTCGCGTTGTACTTGATTACGATGAGGCGGCTTATAGCCTAAAAAAGAATTTCGGTACGACATTGAAAAACTCTTCAGGTGTTTCCTTTAACCAACACGATACAATTCTGTGATTTTACTTCCTGAGCACTATGACCTTTGGCTAATAGAACATGAATCAATAATATACTTCTATCATAAACTGCTACTGGAAAACCATCTCCTTTGTAAGCTCATCTTCTATTTTTTATAGGAAGCCTAAGTAATAGATAGAGTACTATGGTACAATAACAATCGAACGAGTGGAAAATAGATTTACTACTGATGAAGCAAGCAAAGCTTAACAAAAGTCGTGTATTGTGAAACATGTTGTTTTCACTAAGTAGTTACCATAGCTACGCTTTGTCCTATCTCTATATTGTATGTCTGTAAAAAAGTTGATTTTTTAAAAATATTTCAAGCATCATGTAGCTTCTAAACCCGACTAGATGCTGTAATCAAAACGTGTAGCAATGTATAATATACATAAAACTTGGAAAAGCACAGACGACTCATCTAATCTATGGTTGCATTACTTTATAAAAATATCGAGAGTTTCGAACGATTGAAAGTAGTGTACGTGCAGTTAAACTCATTCAAATTAAATATTTTACTTTTCGTTTACACAACGAATTTCATCTAATTCTAAACTTCGTTTCGTTAGTACACTGCATCTATCTGAAATAACTCACCTGATATTGCTTCATCTAAAAACTTCGTTATCCCACTTTTACGAAGATCGCCAAATGTCCGACCATCCTCGATGATGGCCACAGTTGCTAAATAATCCAAACGATTCTTCTTTTCTCGAGTAATTGAGTTATTCGAAGTTGGTTTTGGACGTGAAGCAGGTGATAAAGTTAAATGCGTTAGACGATGTTCTTTTATCAAATGTTTTCTTAAGGTAGATGTTGCACCATTGGTGGTCTTAATACGTGCTTTGCATTTTAAACATTTGGCCATTCCATTTTTAAGCTTTTCTGCATACTGCCATACATTTGATTTCAACTTCTTTGCACCTTTCCGGGCATTATCAGTACCGCCATCACCGGCACCAATACCATCATTGATTTCTTCTTCTTCTACTTCTTCTTCGTCATTCATTGATACATCGTGTTCAACCTGACCTTCATCCATTGTTTGATCATTTTCAATCCCATTTCCGTCGATATCTTCGTCGAGATCGTCATAGGTTGATGCGCAAATAGAATTCGTGACTGTCGTATGTTGTACTCCTCGAGTTTGTTGAGTTCGAGTCATTTCACAATAATAGTTTTGTAATCAGACACTGCCTCGCAATCTAAACAGGTAAATTTTTTCAGTATTCAAGTTTCTTCTTCAGCAGATACTGTAAAAGTATTAGTATCGTTCAAGTCGTATGACAAGACAGCGTTTCTTTCAGTTAATTTAAGTTTGGTCATCAGCTATTTCTCATATCGTCATGATGAAAATATGTTATTCTATTTAATTATATGTCTTTAATCCTATTATCAGAGAGAAAAAACGATTTATGAACCATCTTTTACAAAAAACGGTGTATCAATATCAATTCGTTGATTGTCTGTTGAAAATGACATATGTCAAACCGTTACATAGATAAGCCAATAGGAACGAAGAATAGACAACGAATCAAATCAACAACTAGCGACACCAAATAAAATTTTGACTTGAAGAGTTGCTGATTCTGCATCTCGACTTCGAATAAATCAGTAAGATTATTTTCTTTCGATACGGCAAGCTTGAGTATTTCAGAGTTAATATACTTGCTCTTGCGAGTTTATTTCGATGAACTTCGCATATTGTCTAATGAAAGACGAATTTACGGATTTGTATCCAAATTTGGCGCAGTTTGTACTCTTCAAACAGCTTTAACTAGAACGAAATTTAAATACTGTGGTGAACACATTGCCCCAAGGGCACACAATAGAAACTAAGAAGCGGTTTTGTTCAATTAAATACACTTTTACAAACACACATTCTATCAGAAACGTCTGTTACATATAGGGTGTTTGATTACAGTTTCAGCAAAAAGTCAGAATGTTTTCGACTAATTCGTTCTGATTTCAAATTGTATTTTAAACAATACAGTTAAACGCGCTCTTACTCGACAGCACCAATGCAATTATCGATTGAATACAGTAGTTGACAACGTATGTTCGATTTATTTTTATCTCCTTTCTTGTGAAGAGAATTATAGGCGTAAGTTCTACCGAATAAATGCAAAACACAGAGACAGCATCGCTGTACAGTTCAATGGCATTTCAATACATGCACGATGATGAGTTAGCGAATAGTTCATATCTTCATTAGCACGCTCTGACACTATTCTTTCGATGAATAATCTTACGAAAAAGTTGTCATTGTTCCGTTTTGAGAAATATATAATGAACGTATTTAATTCTTGAAAACAAATCCTCTTCATAATATAAATCGAAGCAAATAATAGAATATAGAGACTGAAATTCTTAAATAATCGTCTTCATCGATTCGCGCATGGAAACAGATATTTCCATATCACCACATACCAAAACACACAATCTTCAGCAATTGTCAGATATCTTGATAATTGATTTAGAAATAACTCACTCCCTCTTGTATTATAGTCTACAAATACATTATATCAATTTAACCTTGTGAGAGACGTTAGTATGACTATGATATTTAACGATACAAAGACTGTTTTAAGTGATTTTTGTACACGTTACGTACAGTTCAACTGCATTTAGTCAATGTAGGGCAATTACATATACTTTATAAAGAGTATAGTTGGTCAAACACAAGCAATCAACCTATACTTTCGCCTAGTTAGGTGTAGATACTAATTAATTAACTGAAAAATTTGAATTCAGGTCAAATCTGGTCAAATCTAAATTCAAATCTTGTCAAACCCAGTCAAATCTGGTCGAAACCGGAAACAGATAAACGAAAGATACCAGCCATAGGCAACATTCAAACAAAACTGAAAGTAAGAGGAGTCCTTCCGCGATAAAACAAGAATCGAAATCAAACACAGCCTTCAACAAACATGTTCACACCGGTTATCGGAAGATGTGGGTTCGAGTCCTGCTTTGATTTCATGATCTTTTTGGATAAGTTTTTCGTATTTATCCAAGCATGTCTCTGTGGATACATCTACTGAAATGTCTTGTAAGTTTTCGTGGACACATGAAATGATTATTTTAATTGGATTCCTTTACATCGTCATTTCAAACTCACCCTCACCCTCGAGAACATTGATCTCTGTTGTTTCGTTTTAATTGCTGAGGATAGTATTTTTTCTAACTAATTTTTTTATCATAAACATACGTAGAAATGTTTGCTCTTCTGATACTATTTAGTTAAAATTTATTACCTGTTGAATCATATGGTAACTAACGAATATCTCCCTGGCGACACAACGAGAAAATTTGAAAGTTTCAGAATAAACTCTATGACCCACCTACGCATATGAGAAAATTTTCAGCGATATCGGGGATGTAAAATTTCTCTCGAAAAAATACCCTCCCCTTAGCTCCTTCCACGCGTCGAATCAGAGATTTTTGCTTCGTCATAAATTAAAGGTGTTGAAGAATGATCCATATTTATATGAATCGTTTTGGATCTCTCTTCTAGTCGTACTCAGTCACATCACTGACGCCAAACACAATTGATTTTTCAATAAATCTGCCTGACCTAGGAAAAATATTGTAAACGGGTTTTATAGCGCTCTGCGTGGTCTACACAATATATAATGTTGTTTTCGAAAATGATACTTTGGTTCACAGCTGTTTTAACCTAAACTGCAAAAATGTGAGCATCGATGTCTTTTTTAATCACGTCGCTGACGACAGTTTTTCAACCAGGATTCCTTACGGGAAGGTTTTCTGGTGCCGATTTTTGTAAGGTATATGCTTAGGGCATTCCAAAAGTAGTGGTAGAGCTCCTTTTTTTCCTTATAAATAGGCTTTGAAAAGAAATCTTTTTCTTAGCAATCGATAGAGCGAGAAAAACTACATCTTTCTATGCTAATTTATCTATATCAAGCTAAGGTCATATTAATGAAACTTTAACAAATCTCTTTCTTGCTGAGTTCTGACTGGTAGCAACAGTACAAAAAAACCAAATAGATGTGGAGTTTTTTTCCGTTTATCCTTTATTTTCTCTTTTTCTTGCTCTTCTAATATCTGACTGTCTATACGTATGTGCATAGTAACGTGTCCGACGGACTGATATAGTCTGCATGTGCTTTTTATTTGTTTATGTTCGAGAAATTCAGACAAGCCAAAGCAAATTTGCTGTACTCCTATTTTCTCTCTTAAATGAGTGCAGAAAACTTTCGTGTTTTACATCAAAGTGCGTACTGCACTTAATATTCAAGGCAGAATTATTCATGATGAATTGAACTCCGTTTATGGTGATCAGACTCCTTCTCTCAAAACAGTGGAAAGATGGTCGAGAAGAAATCGAAGATGAAGCACGATCTGGTAGACCCATTACTGAAACAACATTTGAAAATTTCGAAAGAATTCGTCTTCTTATCGATGATGATCCTTATCTAACAATAGAAGAATTAGAATACGAAACTGGTTTAAGTCATGGTACAATTCATCGAATCATCGCCGAGCATTTGAACCTGAAAAAAATCACAGCACGTTATGTACCAAAAGATCTAACCGACTTTCAACGGGCTGAACGAGTTCGAATATGTAAAGAAAATTTGGCGAAATTTCAACAAGGAGCATGGCGATTATGTGATGTAATAACCGGTGATGAATCGTGGTTTTTCCATAAACAAATCGGTCGAAAGTCGTCAAATGCAGCGTGGGTAAAAAAAGGAGATCCGCCGTCCACTGTAACTCGACAAAGTAAATATGCTCCAAAGACCTTGTTCTCAATTTTTTTCAAGTCCAATGGTCCGATGCTGATCCACCATTTGAAACGTGGAGAGACTATAGATCACCAATATTACATCAACAATTGTTTACGTCCCATAGTGGATGAAATTAAACACCAAAGACCTTCGTATGGAACACGTGGGATGAAGATACATCATGATAATGGAAAACCACATATCCATGAACAGACATCCACTTATCTTCGATCAGAAGGTCTCACAGTGATACCACATCCAGCCAACTCTCCTGACCTATCGCCATGTGATTTCTGGTTGTTCGACTTCATCAAGGACAATCTGACCGATTACAATGATTCGCAATCATTACATGATGCTATAGTGAATTTCATGTACTCGGTCAATAAAGAAGAGTACAAAAAAACATTTGAAAAATAGATCGAGAGAATGCACTTGTGCATCGATCATTAAGGTCATTATTTTGAACATTTGATCAAATAAACAACTGATAAAGTTAGTCGCGTATTTTCCTATGCTACCATTGCTATTTCCTGTTTAGTACGAAATAAATAGATAGTCAGAAGTCAGAAGAGAAAGGAAAGCAACAGTGAAAAGAAGAATAAAAGAAAATAAAGGGAAAACAAAGAGAAAACTCACATATCTTTGTTTTTCTGCACTGTTGCCACCAGCTAGATCTTACAAAAAGAGTTTTTGTTGAATTTCCGTTAGTACGATCTCGGGTTGATATAGATCAATTAACATAGAAAGATAGAGTTTTTCCGCTCTATCGATTGCCGAAAAAAGTTTTCTTTCGAAGCTTATTTATAAGAGAAAAGAGGACTACGCCGCTACTTTTGGAATGCCCTGAATATATATATATATATACTTTATGTGAAACAACGAAAAGAAGCAGGATACTTTTGGTTGTTTCCGTTAGCTTCATAAAGGAGCAGTGTAGAGAACATCAGTGAAAGAGAATGAAGAAAAAGATAACCTTTATAAAAATCCGAACCCAATCATTCTGGTATTGCGACAAATGTTCTATGCAGGTTATACTAGGAGATCCAACTTAATCTCTAGTTCGGTACTGAATGATTCGACACAAACGCTAATAAAGCGCTTCACACACCATTAATAAAACTCAACGGTTGGAACTTTATTTATGGGACTTCAAATTATCCTAGAGTATGTTTCAAATCTTATTTCATTGTTTACTTCGGTTTTATTCAATACACTTTTTTGAGAAAGATAGTTCAATGATAAATGAAGAAAAGATTATTAGATAATTTAGCAGTTTATCGAAGATATCTTTTCTACTTGACAGGTGGTCATACTATTCGTAAAGGCACGACTGTAAACGTGTTCATACATGGCATACATTTTGATGCGAATACATTTCCTAATCCGGAGAAATTTGATCCAGAAAGATTTGCTGAGAGTTCGTTGACAACTGGAGAACGTTCACCATTTGCTTTTATCCCATTTTCAGCGGGACCTCGCAATTGTATTGGTAAGCGAATCCGATTAGAACGAAACTTTTTCGAAATATCAGTATACTTTTTAAATTAGGACAACGTTTTGCTGGATTAGAAGAACGAGTTGTTTTATCAACATTGTTCCGACGGTTTTCATTCCATTCTACTCAAACTATAGAAGACATTCGTTTATCGATAGATGGTATTCTTCGAACTGACGCTCCTATCCAAATGATCATCAAACGACGTTGACATCGATAAAGATGTTTGAACGATTTCACCTATATTTTCGTTTTCTTTTACGTTTCGTTGCTCTAAGTTCAAGTACTTTAGTGATCAAACTAAACAATCTCTTAATTTTTTATCTATTTTTCCAAATATATTTCTTAAGCACACCATTAATTTCGAAGAAAGAATCTTTCCTATTCACCTCATCTTGAAAACATATGCGAAAGCCGATACAATTAATTAAGCCCTTCCCAGCAAAAAAAATCGTAGCCCAAGGTTGATAAAATAGGCTGCAATTTGCGATATATCTTGGGATTGATGTGGGCCAACTGAGATATGACCCAAGTAGATATACGCTAAAACCGAAATTCGAAGCTTTGTCACTTTTGGTTTTGGCTGACATAGGCGATCTAAAAAATCAGACTAGGAAATAAACTGCGATTGGCGAATGACATGTCAACCCTGGGACGACGTTTTGTTTTTTTTCTCACCAAAGCTGTATGTGGATCCATCCGGACCCACATCTGATTAACTCTTTATGGCTGGATGTTGCCAAAAGGCAACAATTTTGCCGTAGGGGAGGAGGGGG